ATGTATATATATGGTCACGATTTCTATACAAGAAATACATGTCATCACACGTACAAAAACTAAAAATAGCTATATTCAAAATCACGTAAACAATCTTTATTAGTAACTATTTTATAAATCATGATTGCTGTTTAAGAAATTGGTTATTATTTTTCCTGTGCTTAACAAGGACAAAGGCAACTAGTTTAATTCCACCTCATGTACCCTGTACTTTATGACAATAATGGCGTTGTTTGTTTATTGTTATATTGCTTTATATTTCCTTTCGTAATTTTCAGTCTGCATGTTTTTTTAAGAAAGTGCAACCTTTGACCGGTAGGTGGCAGCAGCTCTCCGYTGAGGAGACAGTCTGACTGTGAAGAGGAAGAAAAGTGGGCGTGGTTTTGTTCACTGCAGCAGCGCGACTTTCGAGCTCTCGTTAAAAATTGTCAACAAACCACACAGAAGTTTGTACATGGTCCTCAAAGCAGAAGCACTGAGCAGTGTCACTGTTAGAGCACTGGACAATACAAGTGAGTTGTTTTTGTCCATTTATTACGATTTATTAAAGACCGTGTAAATCCTAGTCTTTTTGTTCGTGACTCGGACAGCACAAAAACTTACGGTTGCTAGGTGGAGCTGAGCTTAGCTAGCTAACATCAGTTTAATTAGCTGCTTCTAAGAAGTGAAGTGAGCAAGTAAACCTAGAAGAAGAGACGGATACAGTGTTGTTTTTTTACTGTGCCGTACCCAATACATGAGTCACTTTATAATCCTTTGAATGTTGATGTTTTGATTATCAGAACCGTCATAAACAAGTTTCAAAATACTTGTTTGTAGTTAGCAGTTTTTTTGAAGACATTTTAACATTTACATAGCAGGGTTTAAATTTAAGCAAGCTGTTTAATGAAATCAAAATGACAAAAACAATCGTGTGTTTAGCATTAAATAAAATCTCATGGTCTTTCAAACTTTGAGATGAGAGTAGCAGCAAATTTCATACTTTTCTTTTTGTTTATTTTGTAGGTGAAAGATGGTTCAAGACAATACTCAGATTCGGCGSCAGGGTGCCCACGACTTCATGGCATACTATGACTTTGCCTGTGCCAGACAGGACTCTGTTCCTCTGCCTTCTGTTAAGATGAACCTTCACAAAGGAATGCTGGACTTTAATGGAGACAGGCTCAAATTAATAGACTGGCCACCAGTCCTCCATTCCATAGCCATCAACAAGCACCTGCACCACATTGCAATAAGCAGCACATTCCAAGCTAGTTTAGCTTCTGGAGATGCAGGTAAGGAGTAACTATAATACTATGTACAGTTACATTATTCTAATTATTTGTTTTACTAAAATTACAACGTGATGAATATAAAAAATCTTTAATAACAATAATAATTTTAATGTAAACATAAATTATATCATTATTAATTTCAGATAAAAGATACCTCAAGCCAGCCTTCAAAAGGAAGATCCCAGCCATTCGCTCTAAGGATATGACATTTAAACTGTGCAAAGCACTGAGGGAGTGCCTGACTGTCTCTCCCAACCTCAAGACTCTACAACTAAATGGACTTCCGCTAAGAGAGAGGGACCTCATCACTTTGACAAAAGTAAAAACACACGAGCTGTGTGATTTGCGCTTCATTATTGTTTTAGACAATATTCATTAAATTTTAACTAATTTATAGAGTCCGACAAAGAATTTTGTGCCAACTTTTGTTTAGTGGTTGCTGAAAATTGGGGTTTAAACGGTTTTTTTCTCAAAGAAGAAAAAGGGAAAAATGATATGTATTGATATGCATGATTGTTAAACAATTCTTTGTATGAAGAGATGAACAAAGGAAGCATTACACTTCTCTTGTTCCAGGGTTTGGCAAAAAGCTCTGTGTTGGAAGACTTGTCTCTGGCTAACTGTCCGATCTCTGATGAGGGCTTGGAGAGTATGTACAGTGAATTTATTTGTACTTCTCTGAAACATTTCCCAGGCTTCTACTACGCACAAATATGTCGTTTTCCTAACTTTAATTTTTGTGTGTTTCAGTCATTTGCCAAAGCGTGAAGTATTCCACAAATATTAGGACAATAGATTTCACAGGGTGCAGTCTTACATGGAGAGGGGCTGAGCACATGGCCAATATTATTAAGGTAAAATATCAGTTGTTGTTTTTTAACATTAACTAAAATAATTTTAGTTTGTTTGTTTATTATAATAAAAGAATTACCTGTCATTAAAAAGAATGCACATCTATGCACACATTGCTTTTTTTAAGCATCAGGGAATGCAGAGACATGGCACTGCGTGGGCAGAGTCCCTGAGGTACCGGCTGCCACAGTTCGAGGGAATGGGAGGTCTGCGTCGCGTCACTCTGAACTCCAACACTTTGGTTGGGGATCGAGGAGCAGCTGTTCTTGCACATGAGTTGGCTGAAGACCTCTGGGTTAAAGGTTAGTAGATGAATGTCATTTAAACGTAATTCAAATAAATAAGCATTTGATTGAGTTACAGTCGTACTATGTGTTGGGCAGTGCTCAGGGATTGTGTTTTTGTGACTTGTTCACCAGCTGTGGATCTACAGAGGTGTGGTCTGTCCAATGCAGGAGCTCGTCGTTTGCTGGAGGCACTGAAAACAAATTCTTCTCTGTGCGTGCTGGATATTCGTAGTAACCCTTTAGTCGGTAAGCCCGCAAAGCTGGTTTATTCTAAACAACACTTTTAATGTAGTGTGAACTTTTAGAGCTTCTTGTTGCAACATTGGCAGATTGTAGTGAYTTATGCTCCTTATAACAAAAGACGAAATGAACAATTTTGGAAAAATTCCATTTGTTTTATAGAACTGAAAATAAATTATTTCTGTAGTTTTCCAAAACCTACATAAATCTCAGAAAACCTTGTTTTTCTTAACAGACAAAGTCCTCATTAAAACTGTGATAGAAAAGGTTCTGATGAATGCAGGTCAGTCACCTGAGGTGAGTCTCTGGTAGGGATTATCACTTAAAGGAGACGTGTTCAGCATTTCTGTGTCTGTTTTGTGTCAGTCATCAGTAAATCTCACGTCTTCCTGTTGTGCTGCAGTACTGCTGGATCAAACCCAAATCCACTGAGTCGCCAAGAATGTCTGGACCAAAACAGCGAGCCACGTCCAGGACAGTGAAGAGAAGATCCTTATCTAAAAAGGGTTTGTGCAGTCTTTGTTAGTTTCTCATGTGTGTGATTTAAAACAGATGGAAGCATCGTATTTCTGGTCAATCAAAACATTTTGTGGATATTTTTTTATGTACAGCGGGTAAAATAAGTATTGAACACGTCACCATTTTTCTCAGTAAATATATTACTAGAGG